TCTCTAATGATCAACAGTTCAAAATATCGAATGTTCAATATATCTGTCACATTGATATACAGTACATGTAAATAATAAACCTAAAAATAACTAACCAATAAAAATAAAAATAGATATTGTTCAATAAAATATACTATACGAAATGTTCAATAAAAATGAATATAAAAATTGTCCAATAATATATAACTAACAAAATAAACTATAACAATAACAATATATATATAATAATTTTCAAATTGCATTCTAATTTATTTCTAATCTATTAGTTTGCTTGATATTTTTTTATACATAAATAAAATAATTTTATTAATTATCAAATTTATTAATTTTGTTAGCTTTCAAATCTAAAATTATGTACTAAATATTTTTACAAATGTTGAAAACTAGTTGTTATAGCAAAATTTTGAGTTATTTGGAATTATAATTGGATTGGTCAATTTATATGTTACACCTGATCTTTGCAATTGGATTGGGTTAATTACACGTGATTACTTAGTTTTAATACATAACTCTAATATATAGAGATTATGCAATCACACTATCAATGTTCTACGTATATTTTTTTTAATCGATAACGATAGTTTAAATATTTAAATTTTTGTTAAGTTAATACAGTGAGCGCTCATTACAGTAACAAAATTCCCCCGAACTCATTACTGTGATAAGCTTTCATAGTATTTAATTTTTCGATCACGTTATTGTATGCAAAAAAGTTAGTTCAAAAACCAAAAAATGACTAATTACATCTTAGCGTCATACGTCTGCATACATTAAATCACGTGAATTATTTACTTTTGAATTATCATATCGTTGACAGTATCATACTAATACGCGTTGTAACCATGATAATAATTGATCATCTAAAAACGGAAATTAATCCCGCGCTCACGATTCAAAAAAAGGCGCGTGAACACCTGTCAAGAAATATCGGTTCATCAAAAGAAAAGCTTTTTTTAAAATCTTTACACTAATATCCGGTGGTATCTCTATCCGGGGAATGGCAACAGTGCTAGACCTAAAAATGGGTGAACCAAGACTAAAAACAAGTTGGGTGTGGGCTTATTTTGACGTGAAAACTTTGCCTGATGGGGAAACTGTGGCTTGCTGTAAGACCTGTGGGAAAACGTTTAAACACGGTGGTAGCACGTCAAACTTAATAAACCACCTCGCGAAGACACACAAAGTGTTTCGTCCTGAGAATTATAATAATGGTAATGGAAATGGGAAACGTTCAAGTGGGGAACAACAACCATTGATACCACCGCCATATAGTAACAATAGTAACACTACTAATTACGCGTTAGATCCGTTATCTATAAATAATTTAACTCTACACCCGCTGGAATTTTTGTTTGGCACGTGGCGTGGACAAGGAAAAGGGAAATTCACGGGTATTAATGATTTTGTGTACGGCGAAGAAATTCAAATTAGTCCGGATGAAGCTGGTCGTGGTTGGCTATACTATAGGTAATTGGAAGTCTGATCAGCGCCAGACTTTGACGATTAAAATACACTAATATTTATCGCTAAAAATTATTACAGACAAAGAACGTGGAATCCTGCTCGAAATGACATGAATTTTCATAGTGAGTCTGGATATATTCGATGTCCCGGAATGAGGAACAAAGTAGAATTGGTCTTGGCGCAGCCGACTGGTTTGTCAATCGATTTGAGACGCGTTGATTATTGAGAAGCATTCAATCTTTATATATGCTTATTATTAATTCAGGAATAGCTTCAGTGGAAGAAGGTCAAATAGAAGGAACCACCGTATCTTTACGATCAACTAATATTGCTCGTTCCTCGACTGCAAAGGTAGGTTTGTTATTTTTTGAGTTTGCATTTTTGATATTGTCATATAGGTTTCGGGGAGATCGATTTAATTAGTTCTCATAAATTAATAGCCACCACACGTAGCTGGATACACAAGGTAATTATTTTATTCCCTGTGATTTATTACGGGGCTTATTTTAAATATTTTTATTTTGGTGCACGCGTAGAATTTGGAGTGTAAATCCAGATACCAATCAATTAACATACACGTTCAGCATGTCCACTCAAGAGAAACCAATGGAAGAGCATCTTGTCGCTACTTTAATAAAGGCTTCATAATCTCTTGCACAAATTGAAGAAAAAACGCACCTCACTCTCCAAGATGAAAAAATAAGATCAGGTTATATTTTGTATGATACAAAAGAATAAGTTTAAAATGTTAAGCAAGTGTTCATCAATTTTGAATCCCTTTGAAGTATAGCAAAATTTATTAAATATGGTTGGATAAAACGACTATGGATTTTTAAATAAATATCATTTTCTAAGATTTGTTTAATGCTTTCCAATTATATAATATGGTAAATTCTTTGTTATTTTGTTGTCGCGTGAATTCGAATCTTGTCTTTAAATTAAAATTAATGCAGAAGTTATACTTTTACATGCAAACATTACATTTTTTTATACTTGGTTAGTTTTACATTTAGTTTTTACAAAATTTCTCTACACTTTTTGCTGGAATTAGACTTGTTATTTTTGGAAAAATATTAATTGCCAGATCTTTATCACAGCAATCAAAAGACCAGTACAAAGATACAACTTTCTGCCAATTGTATTTGTTATATATTGTATTAACAATTCTGTTAAAAACTTTTATATTTATGTATACTATCTTATTGAGCTAATTTATAAACACTCTAATTGGATGAAATATCTGATTGATTATAATATAAAAAAATACCAAATCACCAATAAGTTCTTTAATGTGTTGATTTAAAAACATATTATTGTACTTATAAAGTAATTAAAACTATTAATAAATAATTATTTTTAAAAAGTACAAATTCAATTAAATATAGGTCACAAACATAATATAGAATCTGTGATATTGAATAATAATTTTCAGTGAATTTCAATATAAATATATGTAATTTTTTTTTAATTTTCATATCTTTAATTTAATAATTTTCTTAAAAAATGTGGCAATTTAAAAAATCTGATAATTATATTACAATTTAAAATAAATAAATAAACTTTTATATTAAATATTAATAATATATTTATATTAAAGATTTATTATTAATAATCTTTACAGATAAAGATTTTTATTATACAATAAGCAGTAATTATAATTATATAAAAAAGCATGGATGAGTGAGCAAAATAATCTTCTAATATTATTATATTTGATATATTCAGGATGCAAAGGATGCAATATTTTAAATATCAAAATTATTTTATATATAAGTTAATCCAATATGTATTCTGATTTCTAATATCTATTTATTTGAATAAAACAAAAAAACAAAAAACTTCTTATCTTCAATATGTAAATTTTCATATAATTATTGTGACAGATTAAAACAAAACCAGATTAAAACGAAACCAGATTATAATAAAATCAAATCAAAATAAAATTTGGATCTATTTTTATGAAATAAAAATTTCAGAGAAGGGTTAGGGTTAGGTTAGAGCATAGGGTATAGCATTAAAATCTGTAGTAAATTGACCTATGATTATTTAAACATCACACTCTGTTTCATTTTAATCTGGTTTCATTTTAATCCGCCACAATTATTAGTTATATAGTTATAATAATTCATAATATAGATAAAGAAAAGCTAAAACTATAATAACACATTCTATATATTTTAAATAAAGAATATTCTCTCTTTTTTAAATTCAGATTCTCTGTCATCTATCATTTGTATAAAAGTGATATTTGTTATGTATTACTTGAATAAATTCTCTTTCTTCTGATTCAAGCTAGAGTTCTAAAATAATATTTATTATCAAAGTTTTCATATTCTTCTTATATACAAATATTCTTTTTAATCATTCATTTCTATATGCAATTATATCTAACTATTTATACTTATCAAAATAAATATCTTTTCTTTTTTATTATATATATATTTTTTACAGATCTTTTTAAAGATAGTGTTCTTTTTAATATGACTGATTAATTTTGAAAACAAAATCTCTTTAATATATATTTTCAAGTTGTCAGAGAAATATGCTTCAAATTTTTGTTGTCATTGTTATAGTTTAGAATTATTTTAATTTCTTAATTCTGATCATGTAATAAAATATAGATTATAGAAATAACAGAGTTCTCAGATATATCAATATTATTTACTATATCATATTTATCTAATGTATATAATATATCTTATATTGTAATAACTTAATTATAAAAATATTTTATATAAATAAAGAATCTTTTGAATGAATTAAAAAATATTAATTAATTAATATAAATCTAGCTAGTCAATAAATTGCTTCTTGTTTATTGTTAATAAAATTATATCTTAATTGATTTTATAATTAATATTGTTATAACACTTATCTTTATTATACATTACTGAATATTTAATTAAATTACTATAAAATATCAGTATTGTTACCATTTTTTATGAGTTCTTGAGAGAGCAGGTGAGTACTTAATAACGTTATAATAAGTTACTTGGCCAGGATAATTATAGTAAAGTTTATTAAGAATGACAGGTGGGAGAGTATAATATAATCAAATCTATATAATGCATCA